TTAGTTTTTGGATCCTTCGCCCAGCCCTTAGTTTACAATTTCAAACAAAAACCTACAATCTTAAAAATCTGTTGTATACTGTTGGTAATAGAATTTTAGTCAATATTTCAGTAAAAATGTTTGCAGATCTCGTGTTATATGGGAGAAGATTGCTGAGTTGGAGCAATGTTTCAACGCTTTTATGGTGTCGATATAGAATTTTAGTTTTAGGTTTGACATACAGGTATTGAGAATGGTAATACAGTCTCATTTTCTCCATCGAAGATTAGTTTCTTATAGCTTAAAGACCAAATGGCCTGCACTGCCCAAATCAGTGAGGAAAACTATGCCTTTTAAGAAGTATATCTTCCGCTCAAAAAAAGAAAGGATACATATAAGTATATAACTGTATAGGGAAAATTCATTAAAAATACACGGACTGAATTACATTTGCTAGAATAATAAACGAACTTTTTAGACTCCCCAATTAATACACATACTAGATTTCGTTGCCCATAAAATACATCAAGTTTTAAATTTCGTAGGTTTCACACCTCAAATTTAACAGAGTTAACTCTGTTTAACAGAAAATTAAACCGACGTTAACGTTTTTATTAGACACGTGATTGACCCGTTAAAAGCTCGGGTTTCCTTAACAAAAAGCCCCAGATCAATTAAAAACAAACCCTAATTTCCTAATATCCCCAAATCGATTCTAAACAAACCCTAATTTCTTAAAATCCCCAAATTGATTCACCCCAAATATCTTAATTTGTTCTTCTCTTCTAGCGCTGTAAATTCATGTCGATCTCCATGTTATCAGAGAGATAAAGAAGATGAGGTGATTCACTTCGTTTTTTATTCTCTTATGTGTTCTTCTTCTTCTTCTTCATGTCGATTTCACTTTGTTTTTGATTCTAATTCTTCAATTTAATTTTAGTGAACAAGGGTTGATGAAGATTTCTCTACACTATGGAGGCACCATGGAGCGTAAAGATAACAACTTTTTTTATCGGAGAGGATTTGTCAACAAGGATATTTCAATTGATCCGGATTACATGACATGTCTGTGAAACATGTTTGGTACAAGCTTCCTCAAGAAACTATAGATTCGGTGAAAGCAAGTTCAGAACTCACTTCAGATGCTGTTATTTGCCAGATGTGTATTGAAGCTCTGAAACTAGGTGGAGGTGGGGTTGATATTTATGTTGAGCAGAATGTGGTAGAAAAAGACGGTGACAAAAACAGATGTGAAGAAAACAGAGAGGAAGAAGACAGACGTGATGAAGGCAGAGACGAAGAAGAAAGAGGTGAAGAAGATAAAGGTGAAGATGACATAGATGATCAAAGTCAGAGCAACAGAGACGAGGAAGAAAGAGGTGAAGATGACATAGATGATCAAGGTCAGAGCAACAGAGAACAGTCAAATGATGTTGATGAGATAGAGGAAGAAATCATCGAAGATGGAAGAGATGATATTCCATTTTAGTCACTCTTTGGGGATAATGGTGATGAGGAAGTGCAATGTGAAACTAATGGTGATGAGGAAGTTAGAGGTGGAGCAAATGATAATGAAGATGAAGAAAATGAGAGACAGTTAAGGGATGATCCTCGTCCAACTCCTGTTGTTGACACTGACGATGAATGGGAAGATTTTAATCGACAAGAAACGCACATTTCAAGAACAAGATACATCAATCAGAAGCCTCCTTACCTGTGGTTAATGCAAACATTCAAGAGTGGAGAAGAGTTCAAAGATCAGCTGTTACATTATGTTTTGAAGACAAATTATGATGTGAAGTTGTGTAGATGGGAGAAAACAAAGTTGGGAGCCATTTGCACTCACGAAAATTGCAAGTGGAAGATTTATTGCGCAGTTGAGAAGCCAAAGGGGAAGTGGATGGTGAAATCTTATGTTGATGGACATAATCATCTGAAGAGTAGCAAAGCAAGGATGTTGAAGCAGGGTACAATTGCAAGGTTGTACAAGGATAAAGCAAGAAGAAGGCCTGGTATTAAGTGGACTGACATCAAGAATGAGATAATTGATGAGGTATAGTCTCTCAGTGTCTAAGTGGATATGCACGAAAGCAAGAAGAATGGCTCTGGACTTTGTAATACAAACTCAGCGAGAACAATTCGCCAAACTGTGGGATTATGAGAGAGAGCTTCAGCGTTCTAATGAGAATACAAAGACTGAGATTGTTACTATTCCTCGTGACGATGGTAAGGTTGTCCTTGACAGCTTCTACATTTGTTTTGAGAGTTTTAGGAACACATGGAAGAATTGTTGCCGGCCTATTATAGGACTTGATGGAGCATTTATGAAATGGGAGTTAAAGGGTGAGATTCTTGCAGCTGTTGGACGAGATGCGGATAATAGGATTTATCCTATAGCGTGGGCAATAGTTAGAGTGGAAGATAATGTGTCTTGGGCTTGGTTTGTTGATAAGTTGAAGACTGATTTGGATTTGGGGTTAGGAGATGGATTCAGAATCATCTCTGACAAACAGAAAGGTTTGATAAATGCTGTTGCAGATATTCTACCTGAGGCAGAGCATAGACATTGTGCTAGACACATTTATGCAAATTGGAGGAAGGTTTATGGTGCGTCAGAGTATGAAGATTATTTCTGGGCAATTGCATACAGCTTCACTAGTGGTGATTATGAGTTCAACTTACACGCTTTAGAAGTGTTCGACGCAAAGGCACATGAGGACTTGTTGAAAACAGAACCGAAGACATGGTGTAGAGCTTTTTTCAGGCCACATGCACGATGTGAGGATGTGTGTAACAGCCTCTCAGAAAGCTTCAACAAAAAAATCAAGGATGCTCGTAAGTTGCCACTGATTAACATGCTTGAGGAAATTAGGAGACTTGCAATGAAGCGTAACTCTCGAAGGCGTGAGAAAACCAGTGGCTGTTCGACTCGGTTTCCACCGAACATCATGGAGATTTTTGAGCAAAACCGCAAAGCAAGTAACCATTGCACTGTTATTAAAAGTAGTGAAAGCTTGTATGAAGTCACTGAGTTTGATTGTAACTATGTGGTGTGTCTTCCCAAAAAGCATTGTGCTTGTAATCAATGGGACATCACCGGGATACCTTGCCAACATGCTATTTATGTCATCAATGAACATAATAAAGACCCTGAAGAGTAAGCGCCATACTCTCCTCTCATATCTTAATATTTTTTAGGTTTTAATTCTCTCACTCTCTTTGTATTTTGTAGCTTTGTTGATCCTTACTATCTGACTTCAAGATGGCAAGACACCTACAAAACCAACATAAAACCTGGCAACAGAGAGAGATTGTGGGAGAAGACAGGTAAAGAACCTATAGAAATACCTGAGAAAAGAAGAATGCCAGGACGTCCAAAAAATTATGATAGGATCAAGGAGGCACATGAGTCAAAGACAAATCCAACAAAGGTTACAAGAGATGGAAGAAGGATGACATGTAGCAACTGTAAGCAAACATGTCATAACTGTGGAACTTGTACTCTACCACCTGCTCCTGAACTTCCTAAACGCAAAAGAGGCCGGCCAAAAAAGACTCCGGTAAGCTACACTTTGATTTGCATATATTCTTTGTTTGTTGATGTGTATGTAATTTAATATATGCTTTTCTTAATAACGATGATCCTTGGAGCATTCAAAATGCACCGAAGAGGAGGAGGAATGCTCAAAGCCAATCCACACCAAATCCGGTCAGCACACAGCCTTGTGTTGATCCACAACCTTCAACTGCTCCACAGCCTTCAAATGCTGCAACTGCTAGAGGCCGAGGCCGTACCCGTGGACGAGGGAGAGGGCGTGGTCGAGGCCGTGGACGTCAGTGTGAGCCTCCTGTTCCAAGAGAGTCTGGTTGCTATATTGGTCCTTACTCTGGTCGTGTATTTGAGGTATGGGGGGTCTACTACTATGACTGATCAGGATTCACAAGGCTCTCAACAACAACCTCAAGACTCTTAAGCTCTATCATTTCATTATCCTCTTGTATTGTACTTTTCAGTTTTAAAATTATGTAGGATGATCTTCTTTTGGTTGGATGTTTTCATTTCTTAAACTTCATCACCTTCTGTCACTTGAATTTAAGATTATCTATGATATGGTTTTTAAGAAAGAACACAGGAACAAGACACAAAATGTAACAACAACCAACATAATTTGATAAAGATGCAACTACAACCATAACAAACCAACACACATTCATCGAAAATACAAAACTAAACACAGCTAATGGAAACATGACAAACTGAAACAGAAACACAAATCCTGATGAAACTACTTCTTCACAATGGCAACGACCATGATGACTATGATAACAACGAAGCCTCCCCAGGAAAGACCAAGGAATTGCCTTAGCAATTTCTCCTTTTCAACTGATGTTATAAGTGCAATTTCAAGTTTTTTATTTTCCTCTGCGATTCTATCTCCTTCCTCCAACAATAATGCAGTTGAATCTTCAGTTGTAACTTGTTGAGAAGTTTTCCTAACCAACTGCTTAAGATTTCTGATTTCTTCTCTCTGACGATCCATCACGCCTCTGGCCTCAAGTAAACTTTGTTTCTGCCATTCATTTTGCTCCTCCTTATCAATCCAATCCACGAATCCATGAGAATCACAAGACCAAAACCTTCCACCCGGATTGTCATCTGTCCATGCCTTCGCCGAACTCGTTCGCTTCTTACAGTAGCATAAGGGACCGTCAAACTTCTTCTTGTAGAATGACCTTGCACCTGAACTCGAGCCCTCACTTTTAGCCATCGATTTGGGATTTCTGGGGAAAAAAGTTGAAAGAAATTAGGGTTTGTTTTTAATCGATTTGGGGCTTTTTGTTAAGGAAACCCGAGCGTTTAACGGTTCAATCACGTGTCTAATAAAAACGTTAACGTCGGTTTAATTTTCTGTTAAACAGAGTTAACTCTGTTAAATTTGAGGTGTGAAACCTCCGAAATTTAAAACTTGATGTATTTTTTGGGTAACGAAATCTAGTATGTGTATTAATTGGGGAGTCTAAAAAGTTCGTGTATTATTCTAGCAAATGTAATTCAGTCCGTGTATTTTTATGGAATTTTCCCAACTATATAAGTCTCTTCAGAAAAGAAATCCATATGCAAACGAGTTCTATGAGTTGGATCATCAAGCAGAAGCAAAACAGGTGAAATAAATGCAGTTGGAAATAACAAGGACAAGGAAGCAATCACTTGTGACTGGTGAGATGAACATCTTGAGGAAGGAGGCTGTAATCAATCTCAAGCTCCTCGAGAACTTGCTTGATAGCTATGAACAACTCGGTTCTCCTGAGATTCTTCTCTCCGAAGTTCTGGAAGTTGATAGTATGCTGGACAAGAAGATTCATCTTCAGTTTGTTCACGTTCTCAATCGCCTTCACCATCAACATCGGTTCTGGATACCAATGATGTGGGTTCTGCACCAAGTATCTGACCAAACAAAAAAAAGAACACCACTTACTCACCCATACACACTGATATATGAATACAAGAGAGGTCTTGTTTCGCTTAATACGTACTCTCCGATTCTTTTCTTGAAAGTGGCTATTTTTGCTGCCGGTGTTGAAAATGCAATGGAGAGTTCTATAAAATCTCCCATATCTGGACTTCTGTAGAAATTGCTTATTGATTTCGTTATTAAAACTGCATTTGGGTAGAAAACTTTCTCGTTGTCAATCTTGAGGAACACGGTAGTTAAAAGATGTATTTCTTCAACCAACAACTTCAAAAAAAAAAAAAAAAAAATCCAACAGATTAGATGTGATAATAGTGGAAAAAAAATAAAATAAAAACTTAAAAGTTATTACCATTACACCATCGACAACACAACGGTCACCGACATCATAAGGGTGCATCACAAACACAAACACAAATGATTCAAATATGTTCTTGCAAGTGCTTCCAATCATGAAAGCAAGACCCACAAATTGTGAGGAGAAGACCAACAAAAACTTTGTCGATGCTATATCAAGAAGTATTAACCAAATAATGAAGGTGATAATGGTCAAGACTCCAGCTATTAGTTTGTCCACCTGCTTAACAGCTGTTTTTGTATCATCCAACGAATGTCCTAGAGCTTTCCGACTTGTGTAAACTTTAATCTGTGAAAGAAATTTTGGCAACAAGTGCTTAGACACACATATATATAATTTCTTTACAACTTCTCCAAGTTAGGCATAGACCCATGAAATCAAAGGTTTGTGTTTATAACCATGGATCTCAACCGCGTCTACAGCGGCCAACTTGAAATAAGAAAGGTATATTTGAAAAAAAATGTTTGAAGATTACCACCCATTCTGTAAAAGCTTTGCGTGTGATTTTCCCGGTCTCGCCATCTTCTATTAATGGAAGTACAAGATCCAGTTCTTCCTTTATCATGAACCTCAACAGATCATCTTCATTTATGTAACTGGAAAGAAACAATATCAAATATGTTTATATGATTTAAGTTGAAAACTAGATGCAAACAGGGTATGTGACTACTAACTTGCGGTTCGGCTGAGAAACATTGTTAAAGATATCATAAGCAGAAGCTACAGCCTCCATCTCATTAGTTATCTCTTTATCAGTTTTACCTTTCCTGTTGCTACACTCATCTAAAGTGTTAGATATTGTTGAGAGACCTGAAGCTCTCACAGCTTCAATCAAAACTCGCATTGCCAAAGCAGAGACCTTCTCTTGTTTCATCTTGTGAACTTTTCCCATGTCAAGCACTTTCTTCCCTTTCACCGATCCATCTTCGGTGCTCATGAAGCTAAGGTGTCCCCTCTTTGGCTTGCACCCAAGTCTCTCTGCCTCTTCTACAAGTGGAGGCCCCGAGAGGGTCTGGAGAACGTATTGGTGGAAGACAGACTCTTGAATTCTCTCAAAGAAGTTTCTGACATTGAACTTTGAAGCAAGAACTTTCAAGGCAAACGTCTTCAGCAAGAAAAGGATTGACCCCACGAGAAGGGAAACAATAGTCCAAGTTATAAGGTCGAGAAATTTCTTGGTCTTACGGGAGTGTTTATCATCTTCCTCGAACAGAAATATCCAAGAAACCAGAACCAGGCTGAACCAAATGAATACTTGAACATTCTTCTTCAAACCATGCACAAAGTACAACACTTTTTTCCGTAGAAGATAATTCCTTTCTATGATGAACACTACTAAATGCATGAACCAGTTCGTCATGAACATGCCGCTTAGCGTCACCATCACAAATACGCACCATTTCCAAACTTCCAAACCTAAAATCAAATGCTTTTTCACCTTATAAACGGTTAAACTCACAACCAAAGTGCATAAAGTGGCCACAAACACTGCCAATTCAAGCAATGCCCGAAGTTTAATTCCACTTCGCTTCACTCGGTGTAGTTTAACCTTTTCGTAGATTTCCTCGTTTTCATCTTTTTCCTCCTCATCAACTTCATTATGTGCTTTTGCAATAGCCCTAGGGGTTCCAATATTTTCCTCTACTATGGTCTCATCGAATCGATAAGAATGCTGCTTCGCAAACCTTGAATTGGGTTTAGAGTAAACGGACCTCGAAAAAGTTTTCCTCCGAGCTAGACCTTCATTGTTAGGATTCAGAAGTTTTCTATATGTATCTGTCGAATGAGATGCTGCTGCTTCTCCTTTATCTGGAACATTTATAACAACTTCTTCTCTGATTTTCGTTGTCCTCTCTGCCATCCCTGTAGTCACCTCCAACCAATAAGTTTGCGATGCAATTTGTCCCCAATGGCTTTCAAAATAGTGCAAAAGCTGGATCAAATCCTAAGAACACGACAATGGAAAGGTACCAACAATGGTTAGATCAATCATAAATTATTATTAAATGAGATTCTAGTTATTAAATTTTGACACAGAAAAGATAATAATATGAAAGCTAAAACCCTCATATGAACAAGAGATATGCAAGATCACCCATTTGTTCATACTTAATGAACATCTATACTATTAAAACAAAATCCCTAATTGATATTACTTTTTTTTATTTACAAAAAGTTACAATATATATATATATATATCACCAAATAAATATACTAAGTTCATTATTTACATCTGAGTCAGGGTACATGTGATATATCACCAAATAATATACCAAATGATAACGTACTAGTTTTTTCTGGTTTACACTTAAAAAATCAACTATAATGTACACATGATATTTTTAATCATCAACATAAACCAAAACAACTCTTTAAATTCAAACATAATATATCTTATTAAATACGAAAACATTAGGTTGGACCTAACATTTATTCTGTAAGTTTTTAAATTAAACACATCTTTCTACTTTATAATTAAATCTACATTAAATCACTAATATTCTTTTTTTATACTACTATCCATACTTCCAAACAATATATTTATTTCTTTATACTATACTATCTATATTTCCAAACAATATATTCCTTTATTTATACTACTATCTATGTTTCCAAACAACACTATAATTAATCTTATGTCCGAACAATATACTCATTTCTTTAGATTACTATTCATGTTTCCAAACAACACTATAATTAATCTTATGTCTAAACAATACAAAATATTAGATCTCATCCTTTAATAATTTCTCACAATTTTCTCCAAATTATTTAGATAAATTAAAAACTCAAATAATATATAAAACAACAAAAATAAACTTATTTTTACAGGTTTAAATACTTCATATCAGTTATCCATCGGTTCAATCCGTTAGTCTTGGGTTTTAATGATTTTTTAAATATGATAATTTTTAAAAAATCAAAACTGAATTATCAGATCACTAGTTTAATAGTGGTTCAGGTTGAATTTAAAAATATTGATTTAAATGTAAACATATTTTAAATACATAAGTTATTTCAGATTACCAAAATATTTGCTAAGTTATTTTCAAAAAATTTCATCATAAAATATTCAGCGCATGCAAAATTAAGACCAAAGTTAAGTTTGAATTTAACTTAACCGATAAATTAAAGTCAAGGCCAAAATTTTTAGATATTTGTATATTAGTTTAAAAACTTTAGATAATTATTGAGATCATAAGTAACTAAACTCTCAACTTATTCTTTTAACGCAAACCGTTAAGTTTGAATTTGATTTGACACTTTGAAAAAACATACAAAATTAGTGTTTTCACTGTACGATAATATCTACATAAAATACACCGCTCGATGCTATTAATACAAAAGACAATTTTATTGTTCTTTAAAAATAAAATTGAATCGGACAAATTCCAAACTATATAAAACTAAATTATACAGAATATATCCGAAAAATAAAATTTGCGCTGGTGTGCGGGTCATGATCTAGTGTAATTCAAATCTCGAAACAATATACATAACCAGATTTGTCATATATAATAATGGAGTTGAATCTTGGATTACCAAAATAAAAAAAAAACCAATTAAATATTAAAGAAAATTTAATATGTATAAATATATACAGGTCAAAACAAAATTCCTTCTCTATGTATGGGCCAAAATTGTCCTTATTTTATATACATAAATAGGTTAAGAAACATATGCTACAAAGGAATTTCTTTTGCTGTATATGGGTCAAGACTTTCAAAATTTTAGATAATATTATGAAATGTAAAATAAAATAAAATATACTAGAATGAATTTATTTGATATATTTTTAAATTAAATGTAATTCTTTTCGTAATCACTATTACATAAATCTCCTAAATATATGTGTTTACAAAACTATAATTTTACATAAATCCTAATTAAAAAAGAGTAATTATTTTTAAATTAATATTAAATCTATACTATTAAAAACAAGATCCCTAATATGATTGCCCTTTTTATATTTACAAACAATTACAAAATATATATCACCAAATAAATATACTAAGTTTCATTATTTACATGTGATATATCACCAGTTTATATACGAAATAATAATGAACTTATTTTTATATCTTACACTTAAAAATTCAACTATAATGTACATATGATATTTTTAATCATCATCATATGGAAAATATACCAAAACAACTCTTTAAATTCAAACAGAAAGTAATTCAAATCTAGAAACAATACACATAACAAGTTTTAATTATATTGTCATAAATCAATAATGTGGGTTGAGTCTTTGGTTGCCAAAATCGTAAAACAAATTACATATTGAAGGAAGTTTGCTATATATATATATATATATATATACATACAGGTCAAAAGAAAATTGCTTCTATATATATATATATATATATACATATCGGTCAAAATATTTGTTATTATATGCATAAATAAGTTAAACTTCCTTTAACCGAAACGTTTGCTATAAATGCATTGCATTTGCTGCATATATGGGTCAAAAGTTTCAAAATTTTAGATAAGAAATTTAAATTAAAATAAATTATACTAGAATAAGTTTTATCTGATATATTTTTAAATTAAATGTAATTCTTTTCAAAATTGATACTAACATAAATCTTTTAAATATATATCTTTATAATACTATAATTTTACATAAATCCTGATAAAAAAAATATAATTAGTTCGAAATTAGTATTAAAAAGTTAAAATAAATTCATATGGGTCAAAAGTTTCAAAATTTTAGATACTATTATGAAATTTAAAATAAAATAAACTATACTGGAATAAGTTTTATCTGATATATTTTTAAATTAAATGTAATTCTTATAGAATTTAATACTAACATAAATCTTTTAAATATATGCCTTTAGAAAACTATAATTTTACATAAATCCTGATAAAAATCTCATTAGCTTTAAATTAATATTTAAAATAAAGTCGACTTTCAATTAACCAGTAGATATTTTTACGATTATCGTTTTTCCGAGTTATTTTATCAAATATAAAAATATTTCTTAAGTAGAAACAGATTGAACAAATAGATTTTATTTTTGTTTTTATTATGAACTAATAAACATGTTAATAATTTATCAACAAAAAAGAATCTCGCACTTTTAATGTTCATTAAAATCTAGTAACTACTTAAAACAATTCACGAGATATTATTTGATAAGTGACATGTTAGAATTGGCATGATAACATTTAATGTAGATTTATATTCTTATTAAACTTTTTAGAATATGAAAATAACTAATATATCATCATTAAATAAAAACAATTTAAATATAAAATTAAATAATATAATAATAGAAAAAAATATTTTAAAAATCAATAAATATTATATAAGTCTATTTTATAACCATACAATTTTATTACTAAATAAGATTTGCAGAGTTTTTTTTAACATTTTTTAAAAAACCGTTATAAACTTTTAATCGTAACATCATTTTTTTTATATATATAAAATTTAGAAACTCTGTTAAATTTTTTTTATGATTATTAATATTTTGTATCAAATTTTTTAATTTTTTATATAAATTAATTTAATATGATTTAAACATAAGAAATAATTAAAAATCTATCTAAGATTATAATTTTAAATATATATATATATATGTTTTCTTAGATAAAATTTATTCAAAATGTTTATTTTAACTTAACTAAATTAGAGTATTAGTATGCAAATAATAAAATCTAGAACATTAACAGAACTTAGTGTAAATATAATTTAAATTTAAAAAATTTTCTTGCTGCATATGGTGCATGAAAACACCTAATTACCTTTAAAACCCTACAATGTATCCAAAGAAAGAAGTAACAAAGATCAAAACTATTCCAACAAAAAAAAGAGCATTTTCGCAGAACAGAAAACCAACAGGGCTACTGGTATCAGCTATACTAAAGTTACAAACACAACACTTTAGCTAGAAGAGCAAAACAATGCAAATGCTACAAGAGATTTAAAGGGGTGACTACCAGAAAATAAACAAGAACAGATAAAAAAAAAGAAGAGTTGATGGAAATGCCTTTAAATCAAAAAGCCGCGATAGTAAAACAGAGCAGGTATGGAGCTTTATATATATCCTTATGCGAACCCAAAAAAAAACATTTTTTAAGGAACATTAAAGGAAAAAGAGAAAGGTGAAAGAGCAGAAGATCGTACAAGATCCCAAGCAAGGAATGATCTTAAAACTTTAGTCTAATTTAAGTGCATTTTAGAAACCAAAAGAATTACAAAGTAGGCAAAAACAAGTAGGCCTAAATTAAAAACTAGAGATTAACCTGCACGCCCGTGCGGGTGTTAATTTTTACTTTTTTATAAATTAATATTTATTTCTTACATAATTAGTATTAGATATCTTATATGTATCATAATATAATTAAATATATAAATATATAAATATTTTTAGATTTCTATACATCAGAATCGAATCCGGATCAAGTACAATAAAATGGTTAGTTTTGGTTATTTGATTATTTTAGGTTAAATTTAGTTTGAATTCAAAATACCCGAACTAAATCGGTTAATATTGTTACTTTTTGGTACAAATATCCAAATCGGCCTCAGATTCTTTAGTTTTTGGATATTTGTAGGTTTATAATTATTAAAACTGAATTCTTTTTGACTTGGGAAGATCCGATTTGAAATATTTTTATAAATTGATTTTTTTTTTCTTTCATGATTAGTATTAGATATTTTATATGTATCATAATATAATTAATTGTATGAATATTTTTAGGTTTCTATACATTAGAATCAAACCCGAATCAAATATGGTAATATGGTTAGTTTTAGTTATTTGGTTATTTTTAGGTTAAGTTTAGTTTGAATTCAAAATACCCAAACTAAATCGGTTAATATTGTTACGTTTGGTACGAATATCCAGACAGGCCT